TTTTATAAATAGTGAAGTTATGAGTTGTTGAGCTGTTTTGTGGGAGTCTGTATATGGATATAGTAGTTGTATAAGGTCATTCGGTATAAGACCTGTAATAGATTGGTAGTGCTGCTGCAGTTGCATCTGGAATGTGCTTCATGTAAGTCAAATATGTAGTTTGTTGTAATCATTACTCCCTCCACTTCATAAAATATATGTATCATTGTGACATAAAAAGTTCACTCGGATCTGACACAGGTGGTTCTATACGCTTGCCTGCTTCATATTGTGGTGTTGTTGGTTTCAAACCTTCATACGGTCAGTGCTCACGATGGGGACTAGTTGCGTATGCTAGTTCATTGGATACTGTGGGTATAATAGCGCGAAATGTCCTTGATGCACAACTGATATATGGTTTGTTGAACTTGTGAAATTAAGGCTATTTTACGTAATTCAAATCGTTCTTAATTCCTTTATGTTTTAGATATAATCTCAAAATACGATGAGATGGATCCCTCATCACTTCCGCCAAAAATACGTTCAATAAATGCTTCTTTGACTTCTTTTGGTAAAATCAACTCAAACTTTAATGATTTGAGTGAATTACGCGTTGGTGTACCGCAAGTAAATAATTACTTTAATTTATTCGTATTTATAAATAATACCCTATAGTTTTTTATTATCTTTTATAGGAATATTATGTGTCTGAACTAAGTGATCCAATAGCTAGTTTATGGAGACAAGGAATTTCGCTTCTTCGTTCTCATGGTGCAAAGATTGTGTCTATATCATGCCCTAGCACAAAATATGCATTGCCTGCTTATTACATTTTAGCCCCAGCTGAAGCTTCATCCAATTTGGCACGATACGATGGAATTCGATACGGTATTGTTAAAAATTTTAAGATCTTTCTTCGTCAATATGCTTACGTTAATTTTTAATCTAAGGTCATCGAAGTGATAATGATTCTGATCAAGATTCGGAGTTACTTTACGCGCATACACGAAGCGAAGGGTTCGGTGAAGAAGTTAAACGCCGTATTTTGTTAGGAACCTATACATTAACTGCAGGGTAATAAAAATGATTCAATGACTTACAAGAATTTGTTTTTATAATATTTATTTAATTCATTTATTCAACATATGCACAGATCATATAATAATTATTTCATTTGGGCTCAAAGAATTCGAAAAATGGTTCAATCAGATTTTGATTCCGTTTTTCGAAGACCGAATCCTCTTAATTTCATTAAAAATGAATTGCCATCTCTTCATAATCACAATAATGATGAAATACCTGATCAATTGAGGAAAGATAATGATGGTGTCGATGTGATAATAACGCCAGTTGCAATTTCAACATCTCCAAAAGCTAAAGATTCACTTCCATCATCTTCCTTACATAATTCATCAATGTGCGATAGCACTGATAATTATATGAAACGTTTGGATGATGATAACAGTTTCGTAAATGCTTATGTAAATGATGTTTTTACTATACCTGCAAATTTAGCTGGTAATTTTAATTCTCGTTTATAATTTTATTATAACATATCTCGTGTTGAAATGATAATCCTATTCAAAATTAATTATATTAATCCACTCCAATAGGAATTCCAGCAATCAGTGTACCTTTCGGTATTTCACCTATGGATGGATATCCTATTGGGTTGCAACTGATGACACAGTATGGTGACGAACACACATTGTTCTATATTTCAAAAGTTTTGGAAAATAATAAACAAAGTTTTCTTTAATCCATAATATTATTAGTTAAATGGGTTTTTATATTGGTTTAGTTTGATAACTACAGTATAGCTAAATATTTGTAATTGCATTTTAATTTTAATTTTTTATATTATGAAGATTCTATAGAAATATTCATCATTAATGCAATTATTTAGAAGACTCTTAACCATATCCCAAATTTAATTAAATAATTGAAGCAACGATTTAGAATTAATATACTTTCAAGGATATTGTACATAACAAATTCTTAAATTTAAATTGTAAAATATAGCTTCTTGATGAATTCCTAGAAACTATAAATTTTAAAATTACTTAGTAAAGTTTTAAAAAGGAAATTTTATGATATAAAATACTTTACTGGAAGCGTATAGACTTCTAGTTTCTTGCGCAACTAATTAAAATATAAAATATAAGTATTATTACAATTAAATAGAACATATGGGCTATTTTGGCTATTAAAGCTATTTAGTGCAGCAGCCAAAATGATCTGTAACACTAAATTGCCTAGGGCCAAAGAATTAAATTCTAATACAGTATTAATAAATTATTCAAATTTACCATCATAATTAATTAACATTTGACAATATTTCAAGGAAATACTCTACAAAATCACTATTAAGTTGGAAATCTCGAAGGAGAACGACTAAATTCGGTAATCATTTGGTGGTTGGATGAGAGATACAATTTTAGTCATTATGAATAACTTTCGATAGACATAAAATAAAAAGTTTATTTGCCCACGGAACTTCTGATTTTGGTGTCATCAATGCCTTCACAATCAATGCACAATCAATGATGACTACACCTAAAAATTTATACAAGTTTTTAATGTTTAATTGCATTTATATATAATATATTGTAGAATATCGATATTCATATCCACTTGGCGATGCAATGTGACTAATAGAGAGTTGGTTAACACCATATTTCCAATTAAACAACCAAACACCACTGGATAATTTTCGCCAATTACATTGATAAATAAGATTAATTCATGTATAAAAAAAAACTTACGTTTACCCTCATGATATAATGGGGTATCCCAAATATCAACCATTTGTGCATCCATTTACCGATAAAGAATGTTTGCCAATAAGAACCAACTATATATAGGTTATAAATAAAATATAAGATTACAATCAATATTACGTATAATTTCAGGATGACTATAAACGTTTCAAGTTCTATTATGAAAAATCATACAATGTAAGATGCTAATAGTGAAGTTAAAAAGAAATCGAAAAATAGCTTCCCGATGGTACTCTAGAAACTACTGTCCGGAAGATAAAAGAGAGAGCTCAAAAGATTTTTAATTTTTAGCAAAGTTACAACACTGATAATCAAATCAATTTTTAAATCAGATTCAACGAATTCAAGAATAAAATGTAAACATTGCACCTCTTTTTGAATTGGCTATAAATACATACAAAATCATTGCTACCTACTGTATATATTGTCACGGCTAAAGCTGGAAATTTTAAATTAATGCATTTTTCTTGATTTTTTTTTATAGTTAGATTAGGATTTAACGTAATAATAGTTAGATTTAGCAGAGTTTATAGTGTCAATCGAGACCTCTAATTTCCAGCTTCAACCGCAATATAAGATCTGACTGTAAATTAAATTAAAATTTCACTATATTTTTAAAAAATAATAATATAAAAACTACTAGTCATATCTTGCTCAGAATTGACAAACTATAAGTCTTTTTATATAATAGCTTTTTGCAAAAGGTTAAGACATTCTTATAATCAGTTACTTTTACTTAGAAGTAGCAAACTATCTTAATAAATCTTTAATAATCTTTTAAAGTTTTTGAAATAGATAAAGCTAGCTAACCTTCAGTTACTTTTACATAGAAGTAACAAACTATCTTGATTTAAATAAAGTAAAATAGAATATTCAAAGTAATATTTATAATGTTCTGAATCTATATCTACAATAAAGTTGAATATAAGTATTATCTAAGATAATAATATACAAGAATATATACATGTACAAGTTATATGTCTAAGATAAAATTGTTTAAACTCTATGAGGTATCTAAGAGTTTAGTTGTATCTAAATTTCTAAAACTTACTTTTTTTTAATTACTATAGATATATAGTAATTGAAAAGTAATAAGTTTTATAGAGATTCCGCGGAGAACCAAGTATATGTTGGCCAGACTCAACGTACAAAGCAGGCTTTGGCAAACTTCGCAACCGTGAAAACCGGGTATATGGCGAGCACCTTTTCTACAGAAGAACTCAACACAACTTCAGTAACCATTACCTCATCACACACTGAAGTTACCTGTTATAACCAA